TAAAAATATTTTTTAAACAATTCACACCTTAGGCGGAATCTAATTTTTTTTTCGATTTTTTTAATCTTCATCTTAAGTAGACTTAGAAAAAAAATATTTTTTAAATCCTCACCAATGTTTTTTTTTTTTTTTAAAAAGCAGCCTAAAGTGAAGATTTAAAACAAAAATTTTAAATGTTTTTTACATTATGCCTAAGGCTTGAGATTGTAAAAAAATATATATTTTTTTAAATCTTCATCTTAAGAAAAAATATTTTTATAAATCCTTAGGCTTTTTTAAAGGTCTGCCAAAAGCTGGAATTTAAAAAAAAAAATATTTTTTTCTGAGTCTGCCTAAGGTGTGGCTGTCTTAAAAAAATATCTTTTTAAAATCCACACCTTTGGCAGACTCAGAAAAAATATTTTTTTAAATTCCAGTTTTTGGCAGATCTTTAAAAAACCCTAAGGATTAAAAAAAAATATTTTTTCTAAGATAAAGATTTAAAAAAATATAGTTTATTACAATTTCAAGCCTTAGGCAGAATCTAAAAAAAAACATTTAAATTTTTTGTTTTAAATCCTCACTTTAGGCTGCTGTAAAAAAAACATTTTTTTTAATCGTCACCTTAGGCGGACTAAGAAAAAAATTATTTTTAAATCACAGCCTTTGGCAGACCTTTAAAAATACTTTTTTTTAATTCACTCCTTGCGAAGATCTTAACAAAATATTTTTTTTAATTCAGCCTTTGGAAAACCTTTAAAAATATATTTTTGTTTTTAAGTCCAGAAAAAAATATTTTTTAAGGCTTACCAAAGGCCTTGTGTGAATCCTTAAAAAAATAGTTTTTAAAAAATTCACGCCTTTGGTGGACTCATAAAAAATGTTTTTTTAAAAAAACCAGGCAGGATATAAAAAATATTTTTTAAAAATCCACGGCTTCGGCAGGGTTTAAAAAAGTGTCGTTTAAAAATCCACGGCTTCGGCAGGATTTAAAAAAGTGTAATTTAAAATTTCACATCTTCGGCAGAATCTAAAAATCCACGCCTTCGGCAGGATCTAAAAAAATATTTTTTAAAAACATTTTTTTTTTTTAAATCGTCACCTTAGGCAGACTAAGAAAAAATATATTTTAAAATTCCAGCCTTTGGCAGACCTTTAAAAATACTTTTTTAAATTCACGCCTTGCGAAGATCTTAACAAAATATTTTGTTTTAAAATTCAGCCTTTGGACAACCTTTAAAAAATATACATTTTTTTAAATCAAGCCTATAGTAAACCTTTAAAAAATATTTTTTAAAGGCTTAAAAAAATATTTTTTTAAAAATCCACGCCTTTGGTGGACTCATAAAAAATGTTTTTTTTAAAAATCCAGGCGGGATATAAAAAAATATTTTTTAAAAATCCACGGCTTCGGCAGGATTTAAAAAAGTGTCATTTAAAATTCCACATCTTCGACAGGATCTAAAAAATAATTTGTAAAACTCCACGCCTTCGGCAGAAATATTTTTTAAAATATTTTTTTAGATCCTTAACCTTAGGCGGACTAAGAAAAAATATATTTTTAAATCCCAGCATTTGGCAGACCTTTAAAAATACTTTTTTTAAATTCACGTCTTGCGAAGATCCTAACAAAATATATATTTTTAAATTCAGCCTTTGGAAAACCTTTACAAAATATATATTTATATAAGGTTTACCAAAGGCCTTGTTTGAATCCTTAAAAAATATTTTTTAAAAATCCACGCCTTTGGTGGACTCATAAAAAATGTTTTTTTTTTAAATCCAGGCAGGATATAAAAAAATATTTTTTAAAAATCCACACCTTTGGTGGACTCATAAAAAATGTTTTTTTTTTAATCCAGGCAGGATATAAAAAATATTTTTTAAAAATCCACGCCTTTGGTGAACTCATAAAAATGTTTTTTAAAAATCCAGGTAGGATATAAAAATATTTTTTTTAAAATCCACGGCTTCGGCAGGATTTAAAAAAGTGTCATTTAAAATTCATCGACAGGATCTAAAAAAATATTTTTTAAAAATCCACGCCTTCGGCAGGATCTAGAATTTTTTTTTTTTAATTTCAAGCTTTCGGCGGGATATAAAAAAGTATTTTTTTAAAAATCCACGCCTTCGGCAGGATCTAACAATTTTTTTTTTAATTTCAAGCCTTCGGCAGGATATAAAAAAGTATTTTTTTTTATTTCAAGCCTTCGGAAATTTCAAGTCTTATAAGGGCCTTTGAAAAAATATTTTTTATTTTAATTTGGGGAATAAATTCTATAAGGCTTTTTAAAAAATAAAATATGTGTGTGTTGTTGTTTATGTGATGTTTTGTCTTTTTTGTTGTTGTTGAATAGTTCATTGTTGTTGTTGATTGGTTGGTTGGTTTGTGTATTGTATTGAGTGTGTTGTTTTTTTTTTATTAACATAAATAAATAATACAAATAAAAATTATACTAGAAATAATAATAATATATAAACAAAAAATATATTAATTAAGCTAAAGGAGAAAAAAATAATGAAGAAAAAGAAAATAAGTAAGTAAACATAAATACAATAGTTTTTTTTTTTTTTTGTTTGCAATTGATTTTTGATTAAAGAAATTCTTAAAGAATTACATATATGTATATATAATACAATACCACAAGAAAAAAAAAACCAAAAAAAAAAATCCGAAATTCATGTTGGTCCTTATATATAATAATTAATTAAAAAAATGAAAACAAAAAAATATATTTTTTTTCAAATCTGTAATTTTAGCCAAATCTCTGGGTGTTTTGTATGGATTTTTTTCTTTGTGACAAGTTAAGTATTGGAATTTATTTTTATTTCAAAGATTCAATTTCTATTTTTTAATATTGCTATTTTTTGAAGCTTGTGTGTGTGGTTTTAAATTTTTTTGTTTTCAACACATTATGGCTACTACAATTTGTTTTTGCTATTCAATTTTCCATTTATATTGAATTTTGTAATGTGGCATTTGTTGTTTTTAAAAATATTTTTTTTAATTACATTTTTATATTGCAATGTAATATTTTAACTTAAATTCTATGGGGTTTGTTTACAAAAATATTTAATTTTTTTGTTATTTTTTGGAAATTTTAAATTTTTTTGTCTTGTAACAATTTGTATTTCGTTAGTTTTTTTGTAATTACTTTTAGGTTTTTTTTTTTTCTTTTTAAGATTTATAAAAAAATAAATTATGTCCCTTTTCGTTTTAGGAAGAAATATAACAACAGTTCAAGATTTGTTTTTTGTGGAGGAAAGAATACAGAAAGAAAAAATAATAGATTGACAAGTCGAGTTTGAAATTTAACATCCAAATTTCGGGGGGTGGGGGTGTTTGAACTTTGCAGCTTAAAGAAAAAAAAAATAATAAAAAAATTAAAATCGGATTTCAGTTAAATGCAAATTAAGGCAAATAAATTTGCTCAAAGGCAGGGCATGTTCCGCTCATTTGATTTGGGTCATATGGGTCATTAATAAGGCCTTCTGGCTGTCTAGTAGAAAACCTGCCTTTTGACTCATACAGTAGGAGGGGATTTCATCTCTTAAAAGGGTGTAAATTAGGCTCTCAAAAAAAATATATATTTTTTTAAATCCATGCCTTGGGAGAATTTTCAAAAAAATATTTTTTAAAAATTCCCGTATTTGGAAAAGTCTTAAAAAATATTTTTTAAATCCAAATACGAAGTCTTAAAAAATATTATTTTAAATCCAAATCCTTGCCGAAGTCTTAAAAAATATTTGTTTTAAATTCAAATAACTCTTAATGGAGTCTTTAAAAAATATTTTTTTAAATCCAAATCCTTGGCGGAGCCTTAAAAAAATATTTTTTAATCCAAATCCTTGGCGGAACCTTAAAAAAATATTTTTTAATCCAAATCCTTGGCGGAGTCTGAAAAAATATTTGTTTTATATTAAAATCCTTAGCGGAGTCGTAAAAACCTTTTTGAATAATTCAATCCCTTTGAAAAGTCTTAAAAAATATTTTTTAATTTTTAATTCCTTGGAGGAGTTTTAAAAAAATATTTTTTTAAAATTCAAATCCTTGGAGGAGTCTTAAAAAATATTTTTTAAATTTCAAATCCTTGGCAGAATGTTCATCCACGCCTTAAGCGGACTATTAAAAAAATATTTTTTTAAAAATCCACGCCTTAGGCGGACTATTAAAAAATATTAAAAAAAAAAATTAAAAAAATATTTTTTTTAAAAATCAACGCCTTGAAAAAATCGATTTTTTAATGAAGTCATTTGGTCCTCTCGATGAACGCCACTTGATCCTTTTGAAGTATTTTTTTAATAGTTCGCTTAAGGGACTATTAAAAAAATATTTCAAAAAAAATCTTCAAAAAATATTTTTTAAAAATCAACGCCTTGAGGCCATTTTGGTCTTCTTTTATAAGGACATTTGGTTTTCTTGTAGAAGGTCATTTGGTCTGCTAGTTGAGGCCATTAGAAGACCCATTGAGCCTTCGAATAAAATACCACTTGAAACCCATTTTAAATTCCATTACAATTCAAACTAAATTTGAATTTAAAATGCTAATTTCTAATTGACAAATACCCTACTTTTCAGGACAGCATGCCCTTCAAAACGTTGCCTAGAGATTCACATCAAATTGTTTTTCTTAAGGTATTAGGAATGTTTTTACAAATAAAGTATGGAATACATTTGAATATAAAAAAAATCAAAATAAATGCTTCTAAGCCCCCCAAAAATTTGGATGTTAAACCTCAACTACAACTTATCAAACACAACAAAGAAAAATAAAGAAAAAAGCAAAATCAAAAGGAAAAAAACTCAAAATTCTATACCAAAACAAAACGTCCAATATACCAAAAGGCATTTGAACGTGGTTTCCACCACCATCCAAATAAACGACTCAAATCGAAAAGGGATTTACAATTCCATATTCTATATGTTAATGCAGCAGTAGATGAGGAGGATGACGATGATGATGACGACGACGAGGATGAGGACGACAACGATGATGTCGACGACAATCTCGATCTCTTTGATAATGACAACTGTGTAGCAGTGCGTAGAGCATGAAAAGTTTTTCAACTTTTATGCTTCAATAACCACTATACGGCACAGCCGGTACGGGTACCATACATAATTTTCAATTCGGGATAAATGATTTTACGTATCAGTTGATTTGTTTTACCGGCTAGCATGGCACGTCGTGTGTCCTTTTTCAGGACTTTAATGCCGGGTTTGTGTACGAGGAAGGCATTGTCTAATATATGAAATTCATAGTCTAGAACACATAAGGCATAGCCCTGAAAATAGAAATGAAGTGTTTTCAAAAAAATTGAACTATAAATCTTTTTATGTTGTTGCATACCTGTGTCATTTTATCACTTTTGCCCTCCCAGCTGAGACGTTCGTCATAGTGGGGCTCGGCGTTTGTTCCAATGTAAATGGGTTCCCAGTGTACAAAGTAACCGGTTCGCTTTCCAATATGGAAGACACTTAATTCGTCAGTTTCGTTGGCAGCCATCCATTCTTTGGATTTCGGTACACCATGACAGCTGGCGCAGACGCGTTTATGGAATGGTATGGCTTTGCCCGTGCGCAGGAACTCTTGTAATTCAGTTTTATCACGGGGTACAGGACTGCTCTCCTCCACTTCGAAAATGGACAAGGGGAAAACACTGCGAAGAAACAAAGGATATAAGAATCAATATTTATTTCAAAATAATTAAGAAAAATAAATTCAAAATATTTTTAAAAATCCACGCCTATTGTAGACTCTCCAGCAAATCTGTGAAGCGCATCCGCTCTTCAAAAGGTCCGCAACCTTCACCCAAGAAGACGATGACTTCTCGTCTGGCTGACCCTTCTGGACAACAAACGGTGGAGAAACAGCCCAGTACAGAGAAGGCATCAACCTCCTCTGGAAAGGTAAACTCCAAGGTTCCGCTGACGAAGACCTTCAAGTGGCAATCATTGAGAAAACTGTCTGTCTGTGGGTCGGGTCTGACCAGGGAGATCGTCAGTTTGGCAGTGCCTTCAAAGTCATCAATTGTTTGAACAGGAAATCTAAAAATTTCTCGTGAAAACTGTTGGCGGCTTTGGTGCACTCCGGGAAGGAGCCAACCTTGCTGCCGTCTCCCTATCCGAGATCCCGGGTCCTCTCAGCCTGGGTTCCCCCACCTTCAGTGGACAAGGAACTCCTGCTGAAAATGTTGGCGCTTCAAAATCCCAGCCTGACTACATGGAGCTGGATTGTTGTCAGTCTAGCCTCTTTGTAACGAGGATGGAGGGATGGTCGCAAGAGTAGCAGTTGACCCACCGGGGTAGGCAAATCTCAGGGAGCGTGAGAGAAAATTGGAGTTCGCTTCAGGATTGGTTCGGTTTCGTCTGAACACATCCACCGAAACTTAATAGGATAAGGAAAGCGGCAAAGGCTGCGCATCCTGCAGATTAATCTGCATCATTGCAAGGCCGCAGCCGCCGAACTACTCCTGTCCTTCACGAACTCTGAAGCGGACATCGCCTTTGCCACTCTGCTCTCCTCAGTCTATATGCCTTTTGAGGAACTGGATCCACCAAACACCAGTGTACGAAAGATGCTTGACGAAATGACGAGCACCTGCAACGTCATCTTGGGATGCGACGCAAACGCTCACAATTTCCAATGGGGTAGCAAGGTCACTAACAAACGAGGTGAGTCTATTTTCGATTTTATTCTATCCTATACTTTAGGTATCCGACCTTTAAAATGTGGGATAGAGAGGAGATCATTGACTTAACCCTCTCAAATCTAGATGACTCCGTCACCAGTAATTGGAGGGCATCAGATGAATGTTCCTTTTCGGATCATTTGAAGATTTTCTTCAAGAAAAAAATTTTTTTTAAAAAAAGCCACGCCTTTTGTAGACTCTTCAAAAAATATTTTTAAAAAAATAATTTTTTTTAAAAGATCTGACATCTTTATATGCATTTTAAAATATTTTTGAAAAATATTTCTACTCACCGTGGTGCCTTCCTATTCAAATAAGGCTCATTGCGGGCAATCATTTCCAAGAATTTCTTAACCAATCCTGGATTTGGATACAGCTCAATATCGGAGGCCAATATGAAGTGAGTAATGGCTGCATCACGGGCAATATTACGTCCCACATTAACCGGATACAACAGCTTCTTTTGTGTCTTATATAAATGACCCGATGTGATATTGACATATGGCGGCGGTAGGGTACAATTGTAGCCCACCTTGAGAGCATCATAGTATTTGGGTATCGTTTTGGGGATATGTTTCGTACTAAAGTATACATGGAAAGTGGCATACATGCGCACTAAATTACTATTGGGCAAGCAGTCTCTTAAATATTTAATGGAATCCAATGTTGGTTGGAAATCAGTGCCGGGTGCATGCATTGCTATGCTAATGGGAGCATTCCATCTGAAACAAAAAAAAAAAGTTATTAATATTCTGATAAATTTTATGTATGTGTGTGCCTTACCTTTCCAACAATGGTATCAGATTATCTAAAAATGTATAATCTGCATGTGTAGTATAGGTTATCGATTCATGGCACTTAAGTTCACCATGTTCAGCGCGAACATAATTCTTTAATACCCAAAAATCTCCACGTTGTAGAGTTTCGGCTTCATATGATCGATCATAGCATTTCAAGATGCTACGCAATCGTTCGTCAAAGTCTTTTTCATCACCGCTAACCAAATAATTTGGATCGGCGGCATTTGTGTTATTTACAAAATTACTATTGGCATTGCCACTGCCGATATTACCAATAACATTGGCTGGATCACCAATATCGGGATCCATTTCAGGAGCATCGGCATCTTTTACCGGTGGCTGTTGTAAATCATGTGAACCACCACCTGCGGCAGCAGAGCCGGCATTGCCGCTTACATCAGCCTTAAGTTCTGTGGGAGGCTTGGGAGGATCATCATTCATTTCCTGTCAAAAGAAAAATTGGAAATTTTATTTTTGAAAAAGGAGTTTGTTAATTGAAAAAAATACAGTAAGTAAAGGTCCAAAGTCGGCCAATGCCGACGAATAGATAAAAATACACTACGTTATAGACCTTTCGTATGCTATTTACATAAAATCGCACGAAGTTCTGTATGGTAGCTATATCGAAATGTTATGTTATTCCAGAACCAATTCAGTACGCTATGCAGAATTTTGAGCCAATCGGACAAACTTTTTGGGCTTCGTAGTAGTATTTGCAAGAATTCGGACAAAATTGTGTATTGGAGCTGTACCTAAATCTGAACCGAATTGAACCAAACTTAACACACATTATTTTGGACCGAATTCATTCAACTATACAATATTTTTGTAACAATCGGACAGACTAAGGAGGGTTTGGTGCACCATTTACATGAAATCGGATGAGGTTTTGTATAGGAGGTATACCATAATTTGAACCGATTTTAATCAAACTCCACACAAAACATTCTAGACCCTATCCAATAGACTAGGCAAAATATTGTGACAAACGGACAATCTAAGGAGGCTTTGGGACACTACTTCAAATCGGACGAAGTTATGTATGGCAGCTATATATAAATATGAACCAATTTGAACAAAACTCAGCACACGTCATTCTAGTTCTCACCCACTACGCTATGCAAAATGTTGTATCAATCGAACAAAATTAGGGGGGCTTTGATGCGAGATTTCAATGAAATCGGACGATTTGAACAAAAATCAACACACAACATGCTAGGCCCAATCCAATAGGATATGTAAAATATTATGACAATCGGCCACGATTTGGGTCTTCATTGCACCATTTACATGAAATCGGACGAAGTTTTGTATGAGAGGTATATCTAAATCTGAACCGATTTTTACCAAATTTTGCGACCATCAGGAACATTTAGAACAGAAACAATAGAACAAAATCAGGGGGCTTTGGTGCACGATTTACATGAAATCGGACGAAGTTTTATACTCCCGTATGTCTAAATCTGAACCGATTTCAATGACACTTAACACACTTCATGTTATTACCTATACAGTATACGATGCAAAATTATGTATCAATCGGACAGACATAGGAGATTTTGTGCACTATTTACAGAAAATCGGATGAAGTTTTATATGGGAGCTAAATCTAAATCTGAACCCATTTGAACCAAACTTTACATACTTCATTGTATACCCATACCAGTACCCGATGCAAAATTATGTTTCAATCGAAAGGACATAGCACATTTGATGCACCATTTGTCTGAAATCCGACGATGTTTTGTATGGTAGCTACATCTAAATGTGAATCGATTTGATCCAAACTCAACACAGGCAATTCTAGACCTAATTCAGAAGGCTATGCAAAATTTTGTACCAATCGTTCAGATATTTCGGCTTTTATGCAATATTTGTCTGAAATCGGACGATTTCATAAATTTCATTAGATTGCATTCTTGAGCCAATAGAATGACCTGTGCCAAGTTTCAAAGCAATTGGATAATAAATGCCAACTTAGGAAATTAATGTTTATGCAAACGGACCGAAGTTCCGACGTAAAGTTTTGCTAAATCCTCCGAAATATCTGAGGGTCTATCTTGTTTCCTTTCGCACCTAATACCTTGTGGCCTATTAATAATTACCAGTTATTACATTATAGTTTTTTTGATTAATAATTACTTACCATTTTCGCCAGGGCTTCTCTCACCATACCCCTTTCCGCTTGTTGCTGTTGTTGCTGCATCGCACTTGGCTGTTCTTGTATTACAAATTGTGACCCGGACGTCAGGGTATAACGATTTCCAATCATAAGATGACTGCAGATATATAAAATCACAGCAATATTGATGAGTATACTGCAACGCAGTAACCAGTTGCGTCGTGTAAACATTTTCTGGCCCAGTGGTTCGAAACGCATTTTAAATGCGTTTTCCAATGTGGCTGTTGAATTTAACGTTTTGTAAGTAATTTTGAGGCCGTTTGCTGTACACACTCGCGGCAATCTGGATAATATGCAAGTTCCTCCACCAACAACACTTGGAAGAAGTTCTAGGAGGTTGCTCTATTGTTTTGTAATAACGACGAAGAAGGAAGAAAAACGTAAACTGGAACAAGTGTAACAACTGTAATGAGAAAAAGAAGAAGTGGGTATTAAAAAATTAAATTTGAATTAAATTAAAAAAAATAAATTTTAAAAAACCTTAACGTCTAGACAACACAAAACAGACACTTATCGGTCCACCAAGCAACCACCTCTCGAGATTCTATTGCGGCCCACACTCACTACTCGTCTACTCAGTTAAGTAACTTCTTAGGAAATGCGACAAAATGACATGTAAACAAAAAAAATAGTACCACAATTTGAATGGGATCTGTGATAACGGTAAAACAATGTAAACAAATAAATAAAAAACACACTGTGATTAGATAAAGAGAGGAAGCAACACACAAACAACAACAACACCATCAAACTGCCAACAGTAGCTGTAGCACAGCATAACAATTGATGTGAGAGATCAGCTGTTATAACTCACAGACGTCATAGGGGATCATTCAAATGAGATTGTGCTCGTCGCGCGCTCTTTCTCTCTCTGTCACTCCTTCTCCAACGAGTTTAATCTCTTTTTCTTAGAAAAACCATGTATGAAAACAACAAAAATAATGCAGTGATTGATCATGATGCTGTTTGAAATAGATAATTGTTTTAAAAAATATTTAAAGAAAATAATACCGAACAGAGATGACTGGAGTAAATTTTAATAAAAGAAATAGATGAATTTGGTGACAAGTTAAAAGGCCAGTCGGTGAGTTATAAAGGCGAACATAATTGAACAAGGAGGAGCCTTTGGGAGGTATGGATTCTTCCTTAGGAGGTATGGATTCTTTAAAAATAATATTAAGAGGCCCTAAAGTAGCCATGCATATTTAAAAAAATATATTTTTTGAAGGTTTTAACAACAAAGGCGTAGATGCCATATATCCGTCCGATTGCATGAAGCTGGCCTGCAAGAGCCGTTATATCCGGTCGATTGAGACAAAATTCTAGACCCAACCCACCTGGATTGGGTCTAGAATGAAGTGTGTAGATTTTGGTTCAAATCGGTTCAGATTTAAATATAGCTTCCATAAACAAATTCGTCCGATTTCTTGTAAATCATGCCCCAAAGACCCAAATTGTGGCCGATTGTCTCAAAATTGTGCATATTCTTCTGAATTGGATCCATTTTGCATAGCACACTGAATTGGGTCTAGGATAACGTGTACCAAATTTGCTAAAAATCGTTTAACATTTCGATATAGCTACCATATATAGCGATGTCATGCAAATGTCACCCCGGAAGGCCCATAGCGTGGTGCATTGGGTCTAGAAAATCTATTGTATCTAGTCCTAGGCCCTGTCCGACTTAGACCCTTTCCATACTGTATTTTTTATTCAATAATTCCCTTTTCAAAACAAAAATTTCCTATTTTTCTTTTGACTGGAAATGAATGATGATCCTCCCAAACCTCCCACAGAACTTAAGGCTGATGTAAACGGAAATGCCAGCTGCTGTCGCCGCTGGTGGTGGTAGTGGTTTAATGATTTACAACAACCACCCGTAAAAGATGCCGATGCTCCTGAAATGGATCCCAATATTGGTGATTCAGCCAATGTTATAGGGAATATCCGGAGGCCTTCAAATGGGCGTGCTTTTTTTAAATATACAAGACAATTTTAACTTCTTTTGGTATTTTATTTAACGAACATATTTTCCATACAACTAAAACCAGTTTAGATTTAAGATTTCAAAATTAAATACATCTTTCGAAATTCCACACAAAAAACACAAATATTTAAAAATCCATGCACAACTTTGCTTAATAACTATTTCCAATTTCCCAAGACTATCCCTACTTCTTTCCAAAGAAACTCATAATATTCGATTGTTTTCCCTTGGTGGCAGCGGCTGCTGCGGCCTTTGTGGATTTTGGTGACGTCTTCTTTGTTTCCGAAGGTGAGGATTTCTTGGCTGGTGAGGCTTTAACAGATGCCGAGGCTGGTGATTTCTTTTTAGCAGCCGGTTGGGCCTTTTGTTTTGGTTTTTTAGTTATGACAAAACCTTCTTCATCTAAATAGGTTTCCGATTTGGAAACATTTGCCTCATCCTCCTCATCATCGTTATTCTGCTTAGATTCATCAAGTTTTTCTTGTTTCACAACAGGTTGTTCATCTGCCTCATCATCATCGGAATCAATAATGCGACGACGTTTGGAAGTAGTGGGTTTCGATGAAGCTTCATCCTCATCGGCATCCATTTCAACATCAGAGGAAATAATATCCCTTTTCAGGGCTTCCAATTTTTCTTCTTCATCTGATGATTCAGCTTTATCTTCCTCGTCCTCATCATCATCAAAGAGTTGTATGGATGTATTGGTTGTTGGTTTCTTAATTGCCTCCGAGGCTTTAGGTTTGGGTTTTTCGGTTGGTTTCTCGGTTTGTTTTTTGAAAAAGTCTTGCATTTTCTTGGGTGTAGGAGGTTTAACCACTCCCGTTGCAGGTTTGGTTTCTTTGGTGTCCTCTGTTTTCTTGGCGGATGCTGCAAAGAAACTATTAATACCTCCGGCCTTTTTGTTGGTGGTTGCCTTTGCAGCAGCGGGAGATTTTTTAGTTTCTGGTGACGTTTTTGTGGGAGTTTTTTGCGTGGATTTTTTCTGGGTATCCGAGGAGGATTGTTTGCTGTTGGATGCCTCGCCGTTAGAGGTTTTCTTTGGTTCGGTTTTTATTTCCTTCTTTTCGGGGGGTTTTACGGTGGATGGTTTAGCACTGTCTGAGGTGGAAGTGCCATTGGCAATTGCCTTTGTACCAGCCCTTTGTTTT